TTCGTTTGTGGGTCCAACCACCTAAGGGCAATCTTGTGCGAGATTAACAAATAGATGAAAGTCCGAAAAACAAGTTAGTGGTGTTTTTTCAAAGAATTTTTGGACGCTCAAGTCAATAACCAGATCTTATGACGGAAACCAAAAAAAATCGGAAAACAAGGAGAATAGATCGTTAAGTGACACTCGGGTCTGAAAGAAATGATGAATCCACGATGTATTTGAAGCTTTAGGGAGCACTTTTGTAAAGAACTAGTGAGAAAATATATCTTTCGTGAAGAGACTGGCCAAAAAGTGATCGGAAAAAAGATGGAGACTGGGTCTCAAAACCAAGGAATAGATAAGTGAAAATAGAGAAAGAGAGAGACTGATGCTCGAAGATCAAGCAAAGCATCGAATGTAAGACTTAAGTTTTTTTTTTTTTTTTCTTTTTTTTGTAAGACTTAAGTTGTATTGAAAGTTGAACCTTTTATCTCAAGAGAACATAATTTATATATAGCCCCGTTCGTTTCTGTATCTGGATGTTGCATCTAGCTCCAAATGTCCAAATGTTGTTCTTTTTTTCACCAAAAAAATTGCGTTCAGATGCAGCATCTAGATGCAAATTGCTTAGCATCTCAAAAATCTGGATATCCTAGATGCTGAGAAATAGAGAGTTCAGATGCAGCATTTGCATCTGGTTTAGGTAAAAGACATTAATGTCTTTACTAAAATAAAATTCTCGATTTCTACAAACATCACAAAATTTTGATTTCCACAAACATAACAAAATCTCGATTTCCCGTTAAGACGAAAAATCTCGATTTTTCGCAAAAAACGAAAAAAATTTGATTTCCCGCCAAAACGTTAATTCTTGGTTTCTCGCCAAAAACAAAAACTCTCGGTTTCCCGTCAAAGACAAAAAATCTCGGTTTCTCGCCAAAAACGTAAAATCTCGATTTTCTGCCAAAAACGAAAAACTCTCGATTTCCCGAAAAAACGTAAAAACGCAAAATCTTGATTTTCCGCCTAAAAACACAAAATCTTGATTTTCCACCAAAAACGAAAAATCTAGATTTCTCGCCAAAAACACAAAACCTTGATTTCCCGCCAAAGACAAAATCTCGATTTCTCGCCAAAAACGCAAAATCTCGATTTCTCGCTAAAAAAAAATCTCGGTTTCGAGCCAAAAACGAAAAATCTCGATTTCTCGGCAAAAACGCAAAATCTCGATTTTCTGCCAAAAACGAAAAACTCTCGGTTTCCCGCCGAAAACGCAAAATTTTGATTTCTCGCCAAAAACACAAAATCTCGATTTCCCATCAAAAACGAAAAATCTAGGTTTCTCGCAAAAAATGCAAAATCTCGATTTCCCCCCAAAAACGAAAACTCTCGATTTCCCGCCAAAAACGAAAACTCTCGGTTTCTCGCCAAAAATGCAAAATCTCGATTTCTTGCAAAAAACGAAAAATCTCGGTTTCTCGTCGAAAACGAAAACTCTCGGTTTCTGACCCAAAATCTTGATTTCCCGTCAAAAACATAATATCTTAATTTTTCATCAAAAACTCAAAATTCCAGTAAAATTTTTTCCCATCAAATATACAAAATTATGTTTTCTCACAAAAAATGCAAAAAAAAAATTTCATGTATTTGAACTTAATTTGATAAAAATATCATTTATTAAAAAATAATAATTTAAAAAAATATTTTTTTAAGTCTTCATTTGATGTATTTTGCATCTAACTATTTTTCTAAATTCACAAACAAACAATTTAGTATCTAGACGTAACATCTTGATGTAAAACCTAGTTTTCAAAACAAACAATATCTAGATGTTGTATCTAGATGTTGTATCTAGATGCAAAATCTAGATGCAGCATCTAGATAAAAAACGAACAGGGCCATAGAGTTTTACTTACTCCGAGCTACTACACCGAGTTAAGCGCATTTGTTGGATATGATTGGGGTCACTCGGGTCGAATTCAGCTTAGTCGGGCCGGGTTGGATCAATACAAAGAATTTAAGCGCTTTTCACTACTTTGCTTATATTTCATGCTAGCTGGTCGAGAAGTTGATCCCGAGGTAAGCGTGACTGGATAATTAATGGTGATACTTAATTCAATGTCTATCAGTCTATTAGCTCTAAGTAAGGTGTAAATTTGAAATTTGGTTTGATCAAACAGAGGTAATAGTAGTATGTAATAGAGATAGCCATCTTTTATACATTTGTACTTCCATATAGCTACGGTTATTCCGATTTTTCAGATCATTTCAGCATAAATGGAAATGAAAATTACACATAGTTTTCCAAATCCTATACAACACCCATGCTTTCAATTAAAGTGTTATATCATCAAATCTAGGATTATTCAGGATCAATTAAATAACTTTTGTTTTCCCCAGTTTTAGCCTTTTAGGTTCAGAGGAAACCTGACTTCAAAGATATTGAACATAATCTGAAACCAAGGAGGTGAAGATTTGGCTTCTACGTTTTTTTTTCTTTCTAAAGTATGATTTGCCTCTTGTTCTTTATGTTCAGATTTTGATTCGTAACTAATTTGCAGAAAGGTAATACAAAAACTTGATTCTCGTGTTTCTGCTAAATCAGAAGCCCTCAGGTGAATCCTTCAGGACCCATCACTCTCCTCATTTTTCCAGGAGGTGACAGTACGGCCGGGCTACTTCCATGTTGGTTTTGCTCAGAGGCCTTTGGTTCGAGTGCATCTCCTTTCGAAGCCGGAATCTGAAGCTTCCCTGGTTCAGTTGGTGATGGAGAAGACGTGAAATACCTGAAGAAAAAAAAAAAAAAACCGGAATGTAATTAGAGAGATGGACCGGAACTATTGTCCTGTCTTGAGTTTCTTTTTTTTTCCAAGACTTAACCGATGGTCCAAAGCTTGCTGTATTGTGATTCTTTGTCGTGGGTCGTAGATGAACATTTTTGCTAGAAGATCCAAAGCGTCATCGCTTGCCATGGGGAAAATGGTACGTAATGGTGGAGCTGGTGTATACGTGAACTCCATGTATTCTGGTAGATAGATCATGTCAGGCCATTGGGAAAGTGTTGGTGTTCCAAAAGCTTGAATGATCTTCCCCAGTTGATCAATCTCACTAGAACCCTGAAGAAAGCAAAGGGTTTGAATACATCTTTGAAATGTGATGTGGTTTCTTCTCGGCTTTGTAACTAAAAGTAGGACATGTATAGAACATTACCGGTAGAAATGGTCTACGAAGTAATAGCTCGGCAAAGATACAGCCTGCAGCCCAAACATCAACTCCTGCTCCGTACTGTCGACTCCCAAACAGCAACTCAGGCGCTCTGTACCACGTAGCAAATACCTGTTGATAAGTGCTTTTTTTTTTAGATCCAAAGTTAAACTTTTTGGAGTCGTCCACTGTGAAACTAGCAGATAGAAATATCTATAACCACAAGAGAGATCTACACAATCAATCCCTTCCACGATCTTTTAGAGTCTAAAAATGGCAATACATGCGTAAGCAAGAAAAGGGTCTCTGGTGAGTTTCAACCACCAATTTTTCACCTCATCGAAACAAGAAAAACATAAGTATGCAAGCATCTGAATCGGAAAACATATGTTGTCTTCTCAATGCTCTGTATAAACCAATTCAAACACACAAAAAGATCAAACTGTATAGAGCTTAGTATCGATTGATCGATGAAACAACTTTACCTGATGAGTAAACCTCCGATTCGGACTCCCAAACACTCTAGCAAGACCAAAATCAGCTAGTTTCAACAAACCATTCTCTCCAATCAGCAAATTATTAGGCTTCATATCCCTAACAATGGAGAAAAACCAAATCAAGATCCAAGCTAAAACCCTTAACGAGCAAGAAGCAAGGAAGAAGATTTTGTTTTGTTTCTTTACCTGTGCAATACCCATTTCTTGTGACAATAAGCTAAACCTTTCAACGTCATCAACATATAAGACTTGATATCTCCAGGAGAAAGGAATATATTACGGTCACGAATCACAGCTTCGAGATCCGTTTGCATATACTCGAAAACGAGATGCAAGCTTCCGTTGTGAGGAAACGCATCAATGAGCTCGACGATGTGTGGATGGTTAAGCTCCTTTAGCAGCTTAATCTCTCTAAGCGCCGTGAAATTCACTCCTTCTTTCTGGTTTCCTAACCTAATCTTCTTCACTGCTACGGTCTTACCAGTCTATAAAGCGAGAATCGAAGATATATAAAACAATCAAGGAATTGAATCTGATGAAAAATCGAATCGGGGAAAGGGTTTGCTTGATTGATTGATTTCACCTTGGTGTCGGTGGCTTTGTAAACGACACCGTATGTTCCTTCTCCGAGCACTTGCCGCCGTAGATACCGATCAACTGGTTGATTCTCGCCGGGTTTCGTCATCGGGTTTTCTCTTCTTCTCCAGTTACTGTTTAACACTTCGACGAAGACGAAGGGCTAGTGAAGCACTTTAATGAATTTTAGATTCTTCGGTCTTAATTTTACCCTTACCTTTTAGTATTTTATGAAACGAAACTCATACTTCTGAAGTTATCAGAAAAAACCCTATTATATTTGAAAAGAAGTTTCTATTTGTTTATGTATTTTATTAATTAATTAAAAAATCCATATAAAATTTAAAATTAATCTTTGTTTTTGTAAATCTGAGCATTTTCAAAGATTTTATCTTAGATTTAAGTCTTTGTAATTTTAATATGAAAATTCATCCAAATTCATTAAAATATTCGTTAAAATCAAACCTAAAAGGAAATCCATCAATAAGAAACTTCTGATTGAGTGTTTTGTTACGGATCTATCCGAACTCTGGAACTGAATTTGATTTTAGGGTTACAAATTTTTGTTTTCAATGTTTGTTAGGGATATGTTGTTACTGCAATATGCATTGATGCACGCAGAAAAATAAGAGCGAAGTCGATTCGGAAATGTTATGCGATTAATCTTTGATTTTTCATGTTTGTTTACAAGTTTTCTAAACCCTAGAACCTTAATTTTCCTTGTTTTCGCAGCAATCAGCAACAATGATTCCAGACTGGACTCAGCTCCCTCAAGAGCTACTTCACATCATCGCCATGAATCTGGAGAACTGTTTCGATGTTGTTCATGCTCGCTCTGTTTGCTGCTCGTGGCGATCCTCATTTCCTTCCCTACTACGCCAAAGTTACACTCTTCCCTCGTTTCCTATTAAAAACAAAGCCATGTGCAGCCTCGAGAAGATCCCTTTGTTCCTCTTTAGAGTCCGACCTCCTATCGTTGTTGTTACGTCAGATTCTGAGTATTCTGAGTATTTATTGGGAGGGATATGCAGAGATGAGTCAGAGGATCGTATGAAGATTCTTCCATCATCATCTCCTCTTCAGTGCTCAGTGAAAATACAATTTAAAGGATATGAGCAAACTTTGATGAACATGTTTAGCTGGCATATCGTCTCTATGGGCCATCGGTACCAAATTAGTTGTTTGGATCCTCAAGGAATGAGAATAACTTACAGAGTTGTGGCTTTTCTTCAACTAAACAACGAGGTAGGAAGCGGATTCATTGTGATTTGCAACTTCTTGAACACTTTGTTGGTGTTAACAAGTATTGAAATGAAGTGGAAGCAAGTTGAGAACATCCCAGGCTGTCCATGCTTGAATTTAGTCTCTTTTAGAGGCAGATTTTATGCATCATTTGAGCGAGATATTTTCGTTATCGATCCTTATTCACTGGAAGCGACTCCACTAAGGCCATCAGAGCATCGGGACTTCAGTAATTGTCTTGTTCCATGTGGCAGTGATGAATTTTTCTTGGTTAGGGAAACTGTCAATCATGTTGGACCTGTTGGTAAATTAGCTATTAAAGTGAGTAGGTTAGATGCGGAGGCTGGTAGATGGGTCGAGGTCAGTGATTTAGGAGACCGAGTGTTGTTTGTTGAATGCTTGATAAATGTTGCCTGCTTAGCTAAGGAGCTTCCTTATGGTTGTGGTGTGAGCGGGAACTCGATTTTGTTCACCACTCGGACAGGTGTAACCTTGTTCTATAGATACATTAGGGGTTGTTGGAGACCTTTGAGAGAGAATCGTGTGGAGATCTTGAGAACTAAATCTCCGGTTTGGCTTTCCTGGTTGAGTGTTATGACATAAGTCTTAGTTTTGGATATGGTTTTGTTTTTATCATATCAAAAACAAACTTGTTGGTATTATTCATCTGATGTCATTTTGTCTGTTATAAACTATCAACGTAACTTTGATAAATGCAGTTTTGTAAGTGTTGTGCAAGTCATTGTAAGGGCTGGATCTGAGATTTTGGGGTTCGAAACAAAAACAGAAATGGAGGCCTATAATTGGTTTTATAAAAAAAAAATTTTAAAATTTTTTTTTTTCGTGGGCTAAATTGAAATAAAAAATTTGGAGGCTGAAACAAATGTTTCAATGGATTATTTGGGATTAGTACTTTGTTTGGCAGCTTACCCAGCAGAAAGTCTAAAACTAGAGAAAAATAGTTTAGGTCTAGTCTGGTCAATCGTCTTTATGGAGAAGAAATTGATAAACCAGAGAGTTATTTTATTCTAAAGAGTTTTCTTACCACTCTAAATTCTAAAACATAAATCTGATAAGAGTTATGTTATTCTAAAGAGTTTTATTTTCTCATTTCCATTACATATTTTAAAAAATTATACCTAATACCCTCTTGAAAAAACTATTGTAAATATCGAAATGGTATGGGTCTAGTTTTAGAATAAATTTCGAATTTTTTTTTGGGAAGAAATTTTAAACATTTCTGGAACATAATCTTGATTTCGAAATGTTGGCTTTGCTTCAACTAAACCCATGCCCCAAAAACAAAAACATTCAAACATGTCCAAGAACCACTTCCCTAAGATAAGAAGCAAAAGGCAAGATCTTTGGAGAGGACAAATAGTTCTCATCCGATTTTCAACGATTTAGCTTAAATAAAAATCATGATTCCTGGGGTGATTCCTCTGGTTTTGGTGGCTGATCAGGCAAAACTTGAGATTCACCATTGACACCAGCTTGTTCATCAGTTGGTTCAGGAGGAGGATCAGCAGCAGTGGTAGCAGCCTGCTCGTCTTCTGGATGAAAATTTATAGGAAATTTAGTAACTCTAGGTTTGTCTGAGAGTATGTTCCTCTGGACTTTATCGATCAAAACCTTAGTTGGAGGCTCTTCCCTAAGTTGCTCATCTTCATAGTCATTGTTCACATAATACCCAACTCTTAAGAATTCTTGACCCATGTACGAACATGTCAACAATAGCACAGTGACACCGATGATGTCTTCCTCACGGATTTTTGAAGGATCTGGAGGATCAGCCTGTACAGTAAATGGAGAGTTTAGATCAAGACTCTTGTTGCTAGATCACAATAGAAACGAGGATGTGTAAAACAAATGGATATGACATATGTTTACCTGCAATACAAACCGGTAGTTCCCAACATTAACAGGTCCCACAAGCACACTCTCTAGAGTTTGATCATAAGTCTCATCTTCTGCTGAACCCACGTAGATAAGTTTCCATTCCAAATCTGTATCAAAATCAAAGCTAGGGATTAAGTTGAAAGAATTGTTTTTTCTTACGAACACAACTATCTAGGTAGCTTCTATGACTTTATTGGAGAAAATAAGTAACAGAAACACATCAAGCTATAATATCTTCCAGCCAAATCCAAGACTACATCATCTGTTTTCATCCTAGTGTACAGAGCCAACGATCGAATCCATTGCAAACCGTATGAAACCATTAATCTTAGGTAACATATCTTCCCTGAGAACAACTATTGGGGAAAAACAGCTGCTCCAAAAAAGAATAATTATTCAAGTAGAGCAGTCTCATCAAAATAACTATGTTAATCAAGAACTTCTGCATAGATCTAATCCAACTAGTAAGACAGCTAGACTTTAGAACCACCATGCTATGTCCTTCTATTCAATCACAGAGCAGTAGGAAACTTTTGTGAGAGATCATACAAAAATAGGGACAATCACAGAACAAAGAGGTAAAATTCACATTAAGAAACACTAGTATCCAAGACACACAAAACCCCATAAGTTAAGGTTTGTAGAACCACACTACATAATCAAACAACATGAATGAGGGAGAACATGTTTCTTATCCACACATAGCTCTTTCGTTAATTGATATCAAACCATACATAGAGCAAAACAACATGTTTCAACTACAACTCAAATCAGTAACGAATTGGTGCCAAGAACCAGAACAATTTTCTCCACAAACCCTTTTCTAATACAGACGAAATCAGTAAGAATCAGCAGAGACTAAGACCTCAATAAACGGAGAAAATTCATCAATAGAAGACGAAATCAAACACATAAACTGTTCTAGAGCAAGGAAGAAATTTGAGATTTACCGTCTTTGAGAGAGTTTAAACACTCGTATGAAATCTCGAACTGAAAAGGGCTAACAAAAGGGGCAGGATTATCCAAGACGGTGACGTTGGTGATGTTGATGGCGCTCATAATGTTATCTACAGCTTCAGGCTTCTAATTCGGAGAAGAACCCTAGATTCGAAAAAACAAAAAGCTTCATTCAAATTCCGGAGAGACCCAGATGACTAACAAGTTCCTTTTTAACTCTTCGATTGCCGAAAAGCGGAGAAGCAAAGAAGGAAGAGTTTAGGGTTTTGCGGAATTTTTCTCGCAGGAAACAATTAGCGAGGAAACCTTAAGAGATGATTTATCGGTGGTGAGAGAGAGAATGTGGCGAGGCGATTCCGAGTAGATGAATCGAAGAAGGTAATGTTTTCAATTTAGTGTTCTTATAACCGGTTGCTGTAGGGAAGGTGACCGGCTATTGCCGGTCAGTTGAATTGGCGGGAGGAGTTATTTATAGAGGAGGGAAAATGAAAACAACAAACAAAAAAAAATTGAAACTCATGTCTTAAGTCTTAAGACTCAAATGATTTCGGTAAATATAATTCCACTATTATATCATCTTCTCAAAGGATTTCGGTAAATATCAAAAAATTAGTTTAATTAACAATTCACCAATAATGATTCGAAGTAAATAATGATATTTCTTTTGCATATGTATAATTAAAGATATAAATGATCTATTTTTATATTTACTTTTAGAATGATTAAATTACTACTAGCTAAGATAATTTTTAATTTTTATAGTAATCTAAAAATATTTATCAATGCTTTAGAGTGAATTGATCACAACTGCCATCACTCTCTTTTTTATTGCTCTAGTAGGAGCCAAGACAATATACGTCTTTATATTGCTCTAACGACGGAGTCACTAAGATCAACAAATGATCGACTAGAAGTCTACATTTCAGACCACCTTCCTGAGTAATCGTAATTTGCAGTGAGAAACCCATCATCACCTAATGAATAACTATCAATGATTGAAGTCGGAAAGAACTGTTGTCACCATGTGTTTTTAAACCTGTTAATTATCTCTTTAAAATGGCTCAGCTGAATCAGAGCATTTGTTTCCCACATATATAGGAAAAATTCTACGAAAAATGATCAAATGTTTTGCTAGATCTACATAAAAAAAAAGAAGAAAAAATAAACAAATCAAAGAAAAAGTAGCAAAAAGAAATCATCATGTATATATGTGGTAGAACGTAAAGAATCCGGACATGATATGTTTATACTTTGCCGCCACATACACTCTAATTTTTATTGCTTAAATCCTTTTTCCCGATGGAGCTTCTGTGACATTGATTTTGGACTCATATAGTGGTATGAAGACGAATTAAATTGCGAAGCAAATTGAAAGAAATACAAAGGATGTCGCTTTTTTGACTCCTTCATTAAAGGATTTGGAAAAGCAAATTGGGATGCTTCGTAAGCAGCAAGAAGCCACTGAAGAAAGAGTGAAAGATTACCTCACAGATTAGTTAGTATAGTAGTTCTGTTTCTACTATTTTAGTGTGAATTATGTGACATAAGCTACTCTATCTCATCGTTTTACGACATATAAAAGAGATTTAATATCATCTCTTCAAGCTTGAAATGGTTTATTCCTCTATTAGTTTTCATTTGCTTTTTTTTTTTTAATCTCGATATATAGTTTATTTTGAACATGTAATTTGTCTTTGGACTAATTCACCCTATACTTTATTGGTTCTTTCATTTTCTATGTTTCTAATTCCTATTGTCACCAATGAGACCATTTTTGTTTATAATGACAAAAAGGAAACACAAAGAAAAGACATGAAGATAGATGGGATAACATATACACCTAGTGGCTAAATATTTACATTGTTTTAGGTACACATATTTACATAGTTTACAAAAGGGGCACCAAACCAACTACTTCAAAATACTGTGTTTACTGTTTAAGTTAGGTAAAACGCCTAAACGAACAAAAAAAAAAGGTTAACTGCATGCAGCTAATCAGATAGTTAGGAGCATATTAGTGTTGAGACGTGATGTTCATTTTCCTGGTTTGAGCTTGAAACATCTCTGCGATTTCTGCAGCCGTGCTGCATTCCTCTGGATTCCTATCATTCACTTTACGGATAAATCTAGGAAACCTAACTGAGATGCCTCGAGATGGATGAACGAGACCTAAACCGGCATGGTGAACCGGCGAGACGGTTAAATCCGCACCTCTGATTTCCCATACAGCCTCTGCAGAAAACCACATGTCCGGTGTCTCCCCAGTTCTGTAGTAAGGCGGCTTTTTCGCTAGGATCTTATCCCCTGAGTAGAACTCTTTCATCTACAAGAAAAAGTAAAACATAGATGATCATAGATACTAAAAACATGTTTGAGATTCTATAAAACCTTTACGAATGGTTTTTACTTGGTTTCAAACTCTATAAGACTACTAAAACCGAAACCCATGAATTACCAAACCTTAAACCAGTATGTCCACCATTAGTCACCATGAGAAATTCATTTTTTTTTTTACTACCAAAGATGGATACATGGAGAAGTGTGAAAGTGTAGTTGAGCTTTTCATTACCTCAATGTAAAAGGCATCAGAAAAGCCAGACATGACACGGCAGACACTTTGGAACTCCTCTGTCTCAGGGTTAAAGCAGGCCATGAGGAATGGACTATACCTACATAAACAAAGAAAGAAAAATCGGAATTCATAAAGCTACAAGGTCAAATAAAAAATTTTGCTTTCAGGAAAAAAAAAAAAAAAGAGAGTTGGGAAATTCGTTTTTTACTACCATCCTGCTTTTCTCCCGTTGCCATGCCAAGCACCTATAGGAACTAAATCCAATGTGTCACCTAATCCATCTACATAATCTCGCTTAACCTGAACAAGAAAATTAAGCGCCATTTAAATAAAATTCTGGGACTTTTCTCTTCTTTGATAAGATAATTTACAGCACAAGACCTTGAGCCATGAATCAGAACGCTTTGTGGGGTAGTATCCGGCATCAACATCTAAGGACTTAACCATGATTCCTTCAGAAGATGACTGAAATGCTTCTTCTAGAAAAGCATTTATTCTACACAAAGTGTCTTGGTTATTCAAAGACGCTTCGTCTGCTCCTACCTATTAAACAATGAACGGTTCGACAAAAATACCAAAACACTTTAGTTACATAGAAGGATTCAATGAAAATACCAAAGCACTCTGTTACAGAAGATGGATTTATGATGTCCTGACTATAACTTATAGGTCAGGAAGATACTGTAGCACTTACAATGATTTCCTTCGCATACTCAAGATAACCCGGCCTAGTCTCAGGGAAGACCTCCTTTAGACCTGAAAGTTCGAGCATAACCAACTAAGATCAGGGTGGGAATATCTCAACCCGATGAACAAAATGAACGCAACAAATTAAGAAAAGAGAGAGAGAGAGGTGACGGTTACGTCTTCGTCTCTCACGAAGGGGAAAAGCCAACAGCCTGCAAAGTAATGCACAGGAAAATACGACTCAGCAAATAATTTCTAAGGAGAAATGCAGAGAAAGATAAAAATATCGAGTAAGAGATGCATACTGTTCACCATTGAGGAACATAATATCAAACACAAATACGCAGACTTCAACCTGCATAAAGCCATTGTAAGAAAATAAATACATCTAAAAGAACATGTTGGGAAACTACAAAAAAATGACAAAAGACTAAAAATGTTTATCTTCGCAGGGTAAAATTTTTATGAGGAAAGCGACAATCATACTAAACAAATATTTTCTTTTCGCCTGGCTTTGTTGAGGACTAGATTAGCAGAGCTTAACATGTAAGAAGATGTGGGTCTTCCATACTTCTAACACTCAATTGGGTATGTAGTGTAACATCTAAAACATAGTAACCCGTCCCCATGAAACGAAACATGTGATAGGTTTAGAATCATGACTACAATAAAAGAACAATGGGGCCGGAGAAGAATTGATGTAACAAAGCTATGGATAAAACTGCAAGTTCTTGATATAAATGCTGACAATCATTGAGTTACAGAAATAAGGTTGTAAGGATATTTTTTGAATACCTTAATGCGTTCTCTAGTTACCAAATCATCTTTGCTTCCTCTCTCTCTTGTTGATAACTCTTGGAATGACATGAGTTTATTTCCATTCTTTCTATCAATTGCAACCACCTGACCACATAAAAAACCAATACACCATGTATGACCAAAAGAAGTCATGAGAAACTATTACTGGTTGGTTTTTGAAAACTGGCAAAAGGTTCCTTGCTTTGTCTCCTGCGCGTGGCTAAAGGGCTTTACGAGAGATAGAGATGTCTACAGTGGATTCTTAAAAAAATTCACCTACCTCTGCGTCCAACATGAAAGTCTCAGCAGCATGGCAAGAAAACTGTTTAATAACATCAACCAGATCTGGAAATCTAGAAGTTGTTTCATCCCCATTTCGAGAAAAAATACGCACGGTACCATCAAGTAACTGATGGATCTGGGCGCGCTGGCCATCATATCTGAAAATTTAAATTTAGACGTTTTTAGCAAGGTAATTCACAATACACAGATGATTAACGGAAAACAAAGACTCATGTAAACAAAATGAACTGCATTTTGCCCAAACTTAGTTGTATTTGTAACACTTAATGGATAGTCAACAGTATGCAAATAAGATTCATGGTTATGAGTTGGAACTTGAAAGCAACAGATATTCCATTTATAATCAGAAGCTCATCAAATTCAAGTAGTTTGAGAGAAATTCTTGAGGAAAACGAACTTGTATTCACATGTAAAAGCCTTGTCTTGGAAGAGTTTGAAAAAATCCTGAACCCCGTTAGCGATTCTGCAATCAAAATCAGAATAAATTATAAGAGGCATGAGATCAGCAGTTCTAGTCCTTATCTTGAAAACAAAGGTATCACGAAGATCTGTACAATTACTTTGCAAGCATGGGTTTTATAGGTATCCCTGGGACCATTGACAGAGTTGATGTTGAGAACTCAATGTCTTTGTCCATGAGAGAAGGAACGACCACGTCCTGTTTGGAAACAAATAATATCTTTATTTGAAAACTCTTGAAAACTATACTGAGCAGGACAAAGCACAAATAGTTCCAAGGCTGTAAATAGGCAGAATTCAAAGAAAGCAATAAATTAAAGGTTCTTGATTTTTTTCCCACTAATTCTTGATTAGGTTACACCCTGGAACTGTTAATTGCATAGAGAATATTTAGAGGAAAGAAACACGTTTTAAAAAAAAAAAAATCATTTCGCGAGAAAAACGGGAAAACGAATAGAGGCAGGGAAGGCAAAGGTTGAAATTTAAAGCTCACCAGAGAAGGAAGTATATTGTATGCCTCAACTACTGCAGCAGAAACAACCTGAAATTTTGATTCTTATCAACATGAGCGATTAGATATATTCTTTTTAACATACTTGACTTGATAAGTGACAAGAAAACACTTTCTCCAAACTAAGAAAGAAAATAAATCAAACCTCGAGTTTCTCTCTGAAACATTTTTCTGATGGTTCTTTGTTATGGCAATTCCAGAAAGAATTCATAACGATTGCTCGCCCAAGTGCAGGTAGAACAGTCCTCAACATAGCGCCAATCCTTAAATTACGGGCCTGAACAGAGACATTAGCTGCTTAAAACAGGGAAGTTATGAACAATATTTCGATTTTTTTTTTTTTTTTGAGAGAATCTTACCAATGTTCTAACAAGAAATTTGATCTCTTTCTCTCTACAAGAGCGCATTAGCTTCACGATGAGGTTTTTCTTTTGCCGATTACTTCCAGTACCTGTCTGCACACTGAGGAGAACTATTAGCAGCTTGCTACGATGACCTCATGTTTGTAAGAAAATGTGGCTAGGCAACAAAGAACACTATAATCATCCACCAACAATGAAACTACGCTTTAATTGGAAGACAGCTCAAACCAATTACCAGAAAGAAATTACTTACGGTTCTGTTTAAGTAGAAAATTTATCAACAACAGGTCAGTATTTAAATATAGCTTATAGTAGTGTCAAAATCAACAAGGTCATCTAAAACCAACTGTCCCACTTATTTTCAAGCCCTCAAATATCTAACTATCTGGAGTACTTAATCTTATATCTATCATACATTACAGAAGATATCCATATATATGCATGGATATACATGGAAACTACCATCAAACCAGCACAAAATTCACAGAAGTAGAAATGGAACAGTTCTTTAACTCATATATCTGTTATAACTGACACAGCAGAAAGATGGACAAGCACCTCTAAACATTTTCGTCTGCACTGGTACATAGTGTATCCTCAGTTAACAGTTATTTGATGTAACACATAATCAGTTAAATTCTATACCTTATCTTTCGTAGAGTTGAAAACACATCTCTCACTAGAAGTGGAGGAGGAGGAACCAGTAGCTTTTGTGTTTGTCGACATAGCTGAGCAACATCCCCTGGAAATTTTGATAATTATAAATTTTAAACCCGTTTTAGCAGGGCATACAGAAGGAACAACAAACCATAAGTTAACTGTGATGGCATAGATTTGTCTTTACCAAGATCCCCCAATCTATTATACATCTCCCTTATAGTAGCGCGACTTATTCCACATGCTTCTTCCAATGCAGAAGAGATCATACTTCCACCAATATTAAGCTCCTGTCCAATTGATACATGATCATTAAGAGTCTTATAAGGTTATGTAAATAACAAGAGATTGAATAAAATACAAGAAACTTAAACCGACAATATTTTCATGGTCAGCGGCAATCTTGTTTGTGCAAAGATAAACAGCGGGCAGGACATCTTCTGGAGAGAGAGCCATCAAACTGATGGGATGAAAAATTTACAGAAATATAAGTGACAATCATCATTGCTTCAGCTTAATCAACAGAGTGAAAGGAAAGAAAGAGGTTATGCAACCTTCTAAACATGTTGCAAAGCATAGACATAGCTTTGATCTTGCCCTTTTCAGCTTCAACTGAAGCAAACGTTCGGACAAGGTGGATATAAGGAGCAGGCTGCCCATCCCTCCAACAAGCTGCATTATACCAAACACACATATGAGTGTGGATGCACAGAAAAATTGCAGCAGGTGGACTAAAATATCCTACTACACTTCAAACAAACTCTCAAATTTTAAAGAAATAATAAATAACAGATTTGTAGCATTTATAAGACTGTGCATATAAATACACCAACCGTGCTCCTTAGGTTTATACTTCTCAGGTGGTAGAGATACATAACTTTTGTCCGCAATTTCCTCTGCTGATATCTGTCCACATAAGTTAACGGCATTTCCTGATTTTTCTAGCGCTTTTTTGTCCTCCTGAGAGGAACACGCTTCTGGACATTGCGGAAACTGATTTGATTTGCTAGAGAGTACTCCCTCACCTGCATGCTCACCAGGTATTCCACTGGGGTTACTGTAATAAATGTTCAATGCCCTATTTATATCTCCTTTAGCCTCATCAATGATGGAAGCAGCATACTCTCTTAAAGATTCAGAACCATTAACAATATCAATAAACTGATCTGTTAATTCTTTGTATGCTTCTGTAGCATCATTGTGGACCATCTTTTCATCTGTAATGCATTCTTCAGTCTCTGAACCAACACCAACAGAATTAGATCCACTATCCAAGGCCTTATCGAAGAACTTAGTTATCGTTGACTGCCTTGGACCAACTGGTTTCGACTTTGGATCTTTCTTGACCTTCTTGTTTGACTTATTGCCTATGCTTTTGCTTCTTTTTCCAGGAGAAATAGTACCCTTTGTTAAACCGACTTTGCTTGGTAAGGCAAAACCTTTTTGACTTGGTTGACAATCTGACCAAGTGCTCTTTACAGGATTTAGTTGCAAGCCGGTTACACTATCATCAACCAAAACAGCCTGATTTTCCGAGGAAGACGTGGCAAGAGAGGATTGCTTGTAAAGCTCTGCTTCACGTTCATAAAAGTTACTTACTATATCTACGGGATTACCATCATGTTTATTAATCAGATCTAACATCTGCTCTTCAGTGACCCAACCAGGCAAACAATCACGTAATTCTGTCAGCAATCTTTCAGTCACCAAAGAATCATTACTTCTTGGAGCTGTATTATGCACTAAGGATCCTGTAGATGACGGAAACGCATCTATTATCTCGCATGGAGTTTCACTGTCTTCACATGCCTTCTTATCTTCTCCTTGGTAAACCTCAGTCAAGCTTGACACCACATCTATGTCATTTTTCTTTTTCTTTTGATAGAAACCCAATAAGAAATCCTTCTTGTTAGCCATTTCATCCACCAGTCCAGAAAAGTGCTTCTGCATTTTGTAAACCTCTCTGCTATCAAGCTTCTCGATATCAACTCCAACAGTGGGAATAACTTTCTTAGGTTTCAAGAACTTTATGTACTCTCTCAGTTCATCGTAGTTCGAATGCTCACTATACGGTACAAGATGGATCTCCATCGAATCTTTAGACTTCACCGCAAACTTATTCCGCTTCACTTCATAAGTCCACCCTGTAGGCACAAAACCTACAACCTTATCATACCCTTTCTCAACCATAATCTCATTCATCTTCACGAAATTCGGCCGGAAATACGGCCAAGTCTCACCCAATACATTCCATCCCACAACGTGAACATCGCTCTCGTTTTCATCTTCTGTAAACATTCCACTCTCTCCACACTCCAAGATAGACAAAATCGACATCTTCCTCGCATCCACAAAGATCTTCTTTTTGCATCTCTTAGCAATCTCAATCAGAATCTTCTCTTTACCAACAACATAAGTGGCAACAAGAAACAAAACCCTTTTCTCCATAACCTTAGACTCTTCAACAATCTTATCTATAGCACTAATCACATAATCAACAGACTCTTCTTGAGTGGGGAAAACGAACTTTGGATTGCAATAAGTAGTGTCAAGAAAAACACCATCACAGCCAACGAAATCACTAAGATACGAATCTGATCTCATCGAATCACAGAATCTGAAATCTCCGGTGTGAACGTACCTCTCGAAACCATCGTTCACCGATTTGATTTTATACAGGAACTGTACCGCTCCTGGGCAGTGATTTGCATCAATCAGAACAACCTCAGAGCCATCGATCACAACCTTTTGATTCATAGGCAAAGGGAAGACGAACTGTGATGGAACTTGAAGGATTTCTTTCACGAGGCGAGAGGTTTTGTGAGAGCAGAAGATGATTCCTCTGGACCAAGACGGAGAGAGGCCGGAGTAATGATCGGAGTGGAAGTGTGAGAGGAAGAAAGCGACGGAGGAGGAGGAATCGGAAGATGGTGGGAAGCGAAACAAATCGACGATGAAGTTAGTTTTGGGGATACGTTTTGATTGAGGGATTGAAGGAGAAGAGAACGGTGGTTTCTGTGGAGGGAGCGGTGGAGAAACAGAGGAAATTGCTGATGAGTAGAGTTCTGTGGAATTGAGATTTAGGGTTTCTGAGTTACCGCTAATGTTGACGGCGGTTGTGGCTCCGGCGGAGTCTGACGTCATGAGGAAGATGAAATGGCGCGAAATGTGACGGTTTTGGGGTTTGAAGTTTCCTTCTTCGTCTGCTTTCTGAGAATCTGCTACAAGCCGACAACCACTGTCACCGGAATATTTTGGGCCTACTGGGTCTTCGAATTTTAAGAAGACAACCGGTTTATTCGGTTTAATCGGTGTAAAACCAAACCATGACAAATCCAAAAGTTTCCAATTCCATAATAGATCTACACGGTTTAACCATAATTCATATTGTCCTTTTTCGGTTCGATTCAAATTAGATTTGGTTTGAATTTTCAATGGTGAACTCCCCCCAAAGCAAAAGCTAAAAAGAAGGAAAAAAAAGAGAGGTAAAAATTTATGGGAAATTAAATAATGAATCTTGCTAATCAAACTATTAGAACATAATCTCAACGAAAAAGAAAAAAGAAAAGACACACAAAAATGCATTATTTGAATCCAAAAATTAAAAAAAAAAACTATAAAGAGAAGAAAACGAAAATAAATCTCTAAAATGTTACTTTGTTTATTTTGTAGAGAAGCTTCTGTCGGTGAAAAATTGTTCTTGAATATTTGCAGTATTATCACTCTCTAATTAACTCTTTTCTTGAGTTTCCAAAAAAAAAAAGAAGTTTAACGAGACAATATAAAACACAACTTCAAAAATAGTTACATTAGTTTCAAAAAGGAAGTGTTGCAATATAAGGTGTTATATAGATAAGAAAAGAAACATATAAATATTTAACCATCAAATAAATTGTGTACTTAGATAATGATTGAATCGTATACGAATCACTTTCTTTAAAAAGTATTTTGACTCTTATTAAAGTTTTGGGTTACACAAAATCCCTTGTAGGATAAGACAATCAAGTTTTTCTCTTGTTCTAGACTAAGATACAAGAGATACACAAAGAGTTTTTCTGTGCTTTGTTATTATGTTGTTTTCTGGTGGTAGTTTGCAAAAACTTTCTATGTTCTTCTCCAAAGATTTTTCAACCTTTTATAGAGTTTCCAAGGATATAAGGAATAGTTGCAATGGTTCACAATAACTATAATCCCAACAGTTGCAATGGTTTAAAATAACCATAAAAATCAAGAGTTGCAATGTTTGGAGAATAACCATATTCTCAAGAGTTGCAATGTTTGGAGAATAACCATATTCTCAAGAGTTGCAATGTTTGGAGAATAACTATATTCTTAAGAGTTGCAATGTTTGGAGAATAACCATTTTCTCAAGAGTTGCAATGATTCACTAAAATAATTGTAAAACTTAAATCTCCAACATTTCTCCCCCATTTAAGTGTAATCATAGATTCACTAAATAAACAACACATATACTAAATTCATGCATAAATGAAAATGCCGTGACGATTGAATTTTCATTTTAGTGATATTACACATTCCAAATGTCTGAGAATCAGGATGTCCTATGGATTGAATCTTTTCAACTCATTTTGAGCACATGAAGATAATACACACACGAATTCTCACACTACTCTTAAGTGTTTATACTTGACACTATTATTAGCCATGTCCATATCTATTCATGAGCATATACAAAGCCAAGTCCTAACTTCTTGAAGCGGCAACACTTCACACTCATATAGGTAGATACTTTTAATCTTGCACCTGCAAATGCAATTTTTCAAAAGATCTATTAAGAAACCTTCATCATAACCTTTCTTGCAGGTCCAAGCACTTACTTTGGGATGATATAAACTAGTGCTTCAACCTTTAAATGTAGGCTTTCCACATTGAATTCAGCCTCTAACATTGTATTAGAGGGGAATTGGGTATCCCATCATTAAAGATTTCAAATGGACTTTAATCCCATCCCTTTAGCCGGCTTGTTCACCAAGTCTCTAGGTAATCCTTTTGTCAAGCGATTCACTAGATTTTGTTGAGACCGAACAAATCCAATAGTAATTATCCCATGAGTGATTAGCTCACATACCGTGCGATGTCTAACGCCCAGGTGTCGCGACTTACCATTATACACTTGGCTATAAGCCTTAGCCAAAGTAGCCTGACTATCACAATGGATAGAAATAGGTGATACTGGTTTCGGCCACAACGGAATTTCATAGACTAAGTTTTTTAGCCATTCTGCCTCTCTACCAGCGGCTGCTAATGCTACGAATTCTGATTTGTAATACAGGTTTGCTTCTTAGAGGCCCATGAAATGGCACCTCCCCCAAGCAAGAACACCCAACCACTTGTAGAAGAATGATCTTCTATGTTGGTGATCCAACTTGCATCTGAATACCCTTCTAGGACCGAAGGAAATCTGACATATGTCAAACTATAGTTTATGGTTTCTTTCAAATACTTAAGCACTCTTCTTAAAGCTTTCCAACAATGAGTACTAGGGTTACTAGTATATCTACTCAATCTTCCTACCTCATAAGTTATATCCGGTCTAGTGTTTGTCATGGCATACATTAAGCAGCCAATTACTTGTGAGTATTCGAGTTGTGATACCGCTTGACCTGTATTGGGCATAAGCTTTACATTCACATCCATGAGAGTGCTTATTGGAGAACAATTCTCACAATTGAACCTCTTAGACACTTTCTCAATGTAATAAGATTGTGTTGAAGATAGTCCTTTGTTTTCTCGCTTGATTCTAATTCCAAGAATCACGTCCACCTCCCCTATGTCTTTCATGGCAAAACTTGATGACAAAAATGCTTTGGTAAGCTCTACTTGTCTAAGGTCGGTGCCAAAGATCAACATGTCATCACCATATAAGCAAATGATTACTCCATTACCGGACTCATCAAATTTACTTTATAAACACTTTTCCGACTGATTTAACTTGAATCCATTCGACAAGACAACCTCATCAAATCTTTGATGCCAATGTTTAGGTGCTTGCTTTAGTCCATACAATGGCTTTATCAACTTACACACTTTATCCTCATCACCAAGCATGATAAACCCTTCAGGTTGTTTCATATACACATCTTCTTCTAATACACCATGTAAGAACGCTGTCTTGACATCCATTTGATGAATCACAAGATTATTAATAGCCGCCAGAGCAATTAATAATCTTATATAAGAGATCCTAGCAACAGGGGCATATGTATCAAAATAATCAATACCTTCCCTTTGTTTAAAGCCTTGGATAACCAATCGAGCTTTAAATTTATCGATTGTTCCATCGACTTTCATCTTCTTTTTGAAGATCCACTTGCAGCCTAAAAGCTTGCAACCGAGTGGGAGATCTGTTAAGACCCATGTGTTATTTCCCATGATGGAGTCTATCTCATCATTTACTGCTTCTTTCCAAAATGCAACTTCTTGAGACTTCATAGCCTCATCAAAAGTCCGAGGGTCATCATCAACAAGATAACAATATGAGTATTCTAAATCAATCTCATCTCTAGACCCTTCAACTAAATAAAGTTGAAAATCAGGACCGAATGATTTTTCATTCTTCCTCATTTGTTCTTTACGGAGCACAGGTGACTCGTTGACTGGCACAACAGAACTTGAACTAGGAACTAAATCCTCATCAAATATTGCATCTCTTGATTCAATTACCGTGTGAACCGGTATAGAATCATTAGGTTCTATGACATAAAACCTATAAGCCTTGGAATGCTCAGCATATCTAATAAAAATGCAATCAATACCTCTTTCCCCCAAAGTTTTAATCTTGGGTTGGGGTAATCTAATTTCTTTCTATACTCTTAAATGGTTGTCTAACTATCTTTGTCAGCATGCAAGTACTACACTTCTCTATATTCATGTCAAAAGTAGGAATCAAACCTTCTTTAGACATTTCAATCATACGGTTATAATGTACATGACCTAATCTTGCATGCCTTAGAGAAGTATCTACTTTGCTAGAATATGCCATATAAATAGAATTGATAATTTTATTAATATTAAGCATAAACATGTCATTACAGAAATATCCAAATCCAACAAATACACCACACTTCGATAAGATATACATATCGGATTCATACACTTGTTTGTATCCACACTTATTTAAAACACTACTGGAGACTAAATTTTTTCTAATTCCGAGTACATGAAGTACATCCTTAAGATCAAGGATTTTCTCGGAACTAAATTCTAACACCACTTTTCCACGGCCTAGGATAGGAGCGGTTAACTCGTTGCCCATATGAAGTACAGACCCATCTTGAACTGGTTCATATGACTTGAACCAGCCACGATCCTTGCAAATATGTGTTGTTGCACCCGAGTCAATCCACCATGACACTTCATCATCCTGCACATAAAATGCCTCAGAAAAAACCGAAATCTGATCTTGATGAGAAGATGGGTCTTGGTCCTTAGACACTTGCCTCAAATGGTTTTGTCCCATTTTATTCTTATCCTCCGCTGCCCGACAGTCACATTTGAAATGACCTGGCTTGTTACAAATCCAATAAACGCTCTTAAGCCTTTTGTTAGATCCACCACTAGTGTTGTTATTAAAGGAGCGTTTCTACCCCTTATTTTTCTTAGAACTCCCACTTTCTTTCATCATATTAATGGAAGAAGTATCAACCTCTTTATTAGATTTTTCTCCTTCTTGCGCCCTTAGAGATTCCTCTATACGCAAGTGGCTACCAAGTTGTACAAGAGACAACTCTTCATTTTTGTGTTTCAACATGTGTTTGAAATCTTTCCATGAAGGTGGTAACTTGTAGATAATACTCGATACCGAGATGGATTCATCCATCTTCATGTTGTGTTGGGTGAATTTCCCTAGGATACGGAGTAGTTCATTGTACTGCTCCATAACCGGCCTAGAATCAGACATCTTGTAATTATTAAAATTACTTACGAGGAACTTCTAACTAGAAGCATCCTCGGCCATGTTCTTTGATTCCAATGCATCCCACAACTCTTTTGCGGATTCAACATTCTGATAGACATCAAATAGTGGATCCGACATACCGTTGAGAATATGGCCATGGCATATGTAATCATCGTTTTCCCATTTAAGTTGCTTCCTTGTCTCCTCCAAAGACTCGTTCTCTGCA